TAGAGGTAATATAGTAGCTGGAATAAAAAGAGAAGGTGACTTGCTTTTGTGTAATTATTCACTAATCTCATCTTGCTTTGAATTAAGTAAGGAACAGATCTGTGCAAGAATAGTGTTTCAATAAACTTTATTTTCTGACTGGCGTTATTGTTCACATAAAAGCCTTCGCACTTCTGTGCTGGTTTGGTCTTTACACAATCAGCCTGTTGGTGTACTGCCACCCCAGTAACTGCCTTTCTGAAAAAAAAATTAAGTTGAAGATGCCTTGTCTTAGCTGCATAGGTAATTCAAAATCAACAGTGTGCAGGGGTTTTTTAAATTTTGCAGGACGTGACATAAGTAGATAATGTATATTGAACGCTAGTATTGTAGCTGGTTTTGTTTGATGCCTTTTTTTTTCAAAAGCTTAATTTAAAACCTTGTGGAACCAATGTGACATCAGCACAATATAAAATTCAGTATGTCAATTCATTATTACTCTCATATAGGTAAAGAATAGCATGTCTGATAACTTCAAGTGAGAAACTGAATTGAGTGTCTTAGAGGAAATTTATTTTGCACCTGTAGCTCATTACTCAAAGTAGTCTCCAGTTAAACATTTTCCTAATGTGAATTTGTGGGGTTTTTCTGGCTTTTGATCAGCCATACAATAACTTAATTTTTTCATAATCGTTATGATGCTTAAATCGGTATCCCTTCAAAACAGTGAATTCTACTCAATCTTCCCCAGTTACCCTTTCATTATTGTACCATTCTGTGAAGCTCTAGGGGCAAATTGCTACTTGTGTATTATTCCTACCTACTAAGAAATTGTTATTAATTTAATTTTTAGTATTAATAAAGTAAATATATACAGAACCTTCTGGTTCACATTTTCAAAGTTTTTATCCTGTGTACAAATACGTTTTTAACAGTGTACAAAAGCTAAAGTAAAATGCCTATTTATTCCTACTGTTCACTCACAAAAGTAATGTTTATTTCATATGAGAGAAGGTAAAAAAATGTAATATGGCACAATTCACATGGAAGTGTTTTGCATAAGTATATCATTCTCTTTAAAAACATTTGTACAAACTTTTGCTCCTGCCAGTGATGATGCCATTCTTTGTTGCTCTCAGAAAGCCTTTTAACTCATTTTGGGTTTTATATTCCTTTGCATTAGGGTATAGTTTTCTAAACAAAGTATTTTCTTGAAAATACTACTCTGAACTGAACGTGATGCTTTTAGGAGGCAACGTTTGAGGAGAAGCTTGGAATGACCATCTCCTTTACTGTCAGCAGAGCGTTTACACACATTCATTAGTAGTAGTAGCATTGCTGCTTATATGGCAGATCCCTTCCTGTCACAGGTTCCAGGAGTCTTTTTCACAGTGTCCTCTGAGGCTTTCGATTCAATCACTGAAGAGAGTGACAAAGCTTTGGGCCCGAGTTGGGGCAAAAGAGTGGTTTTTCACTTTGTTTACATGACTGAAGCACACACAGGTTAAAGGAATTTGCCTGAAGTCACACAGGAAATCTTTGGCAAAGCTGGGGACCTCCCGAGTATCAAGCCTGGTCTTGAGTAAGCCCATACTTACAGGTTCAATGGTATAAATAAGCCACCAGCTGAACTCTAACAGCAGTTATTCCCAAGAAGGAGAGGCAGCTTTTGCTTGCACAGCAGTGTTGTTTTTTCTCTGAAAAATTGTAAAATGAAATGTTTGATGGTTTTCGAAGGCGTTTTTCTAGAATAAAGTCTTTCCACTGCTATTAGTAATTAACTGGTATGTGCTGCTACCCAGGTTAAGCATCTGGAGAGAATACAGAATGCCAGTGCTTACAAGGACAGTATTTAAAAATAAACTAAAGGCATCTCCTGATTTATGTTATTTTTTTCATTGTAGTGTCAATATCAGTGAATATAAGCCTGGTAAATGGTTCTAAATTCAATTCTGATTTCTTTTGCGTTTTAGACTTATACATTTGAAAATAGTACAGAAAGCCTTTTGCCAGTGTTTAAATACAGTCAAATAAACGCATCAACACTAAATAAGTAAATAAATAAATTTGAAAACTAGTAAACTGGAATCATGTCTATAAAGCACTTGAGATTGTTGGGACTAAACATTGTTTTTAAAGGCTGTTTTGAATTTTTACATATCTTCTTCCTTAAGTTCTCTTAGGATATGAAGTTTATTTTCAGTTACATTTTCTTTATACTAAGCAGTTTCCTTAGGAGCATGATGCTTCTGAAGCACAAACCATCCAGTGAAACTGAATGAATAAAGAAGGACCTGATTTCACCCTGTGCTAATAAAATACTTTAGTGTTTAAAGACTTTTAGAGTTAATCATATCAGGATGTGTAAGTAGCTACAAATTTATCCGTTTGTAGTTGCTGGTTGGATCATTTTCAAAATTATCACCATCATCAGTGTTTTCCTTATAGAAGTTCTCTCTCTCTCCCTGCCATCACTGAGCTAACATGGTTTTTTGTTTGTTTTTATTCTTGATTTCTCTAGCCTCCAAAACTCTTATAAATAGTATGCTACGAGACCCTTCTCAGATTCCAGATGGAGTTCTAGCAAATCAAGTCTATCAGGTATTAATCACACTTGTCTTTTTCTCTTCTTTTTGTGGCAATGCTGTTATCTGCCTAGCAGAGTAAAAGATTTTAAACCTCATTTAATTACTGGCATAGTAAACTATCAGTGAGGTCAGGGTGCACCATAAATGGCAATGCAATATTTGTGAGGGGAGCATTTCACTTTTTAATAGCTTGCTTTTATAGTGAATAAAAGCATTCCATTTTTGTTTTCTGTGATTAAATCTGAGCAGCATCTGATAGCCTTTTTGAAGAAAAGTAATTACTGGTTTTAAGATACTGTTTAACTATAATGGTTTTTGTAGTTGCCCATCACTATACTACTTCTCTTATTTGTCTGCAGTGTACTGTGAATGACTGTTGTTATGGACCACTGGTGGACTGCATCAAACAGTATCCTTTCCCATAAAATTTTAGGTGCACAATTGACGAGCTTAGACTGTGTGGAAGAGATGTGTCTAGCTTTAACCTGACATAAAGTTCTGCTTCACAAAACACGTTTCATACTCCTCTGTTTTACATTCAATCAGCTAGAGGGTCACTGCAGAGCTTTCTCGTATACTGTTTAACAAAAATCAGATGGACCACGGGAAGTTGTCAGTTTGGTGGCTACACGTTCATATGCCTGATTGAACCTCTTTGGTTTTGATTAGTTGAAATGCATGTCTGGTTTTCTATTAAGACTAGTTGACCATGCTTTGGGCGGTGGAGTTGGACTAGATGATCTCTGGAGATACTTCCAATCTCAACTATTCTGTGATTAAATTAATAAATTGCATGGATAGTGTTCAACGTTATAGCATTGCTTTGTTATAAATATGAGTTTTAATTTGAATATTTTCAAGTGCAATTCAGGTGTGATTGACTGATTAGTATTCCAGACTAAGATTATAATTTGTTAGGAATGATCCCTGCAACCCCAAATCTGTTTTAATAAAGTCCTAAATGAGTAACTTTTCTCTTTCAGTCTGCTATCAAAGAAAGAATTTCAAAATCATGGTTGCTATCACTGAACAGGCCAGTAAGGCGATTCCTACCAAACCCCAGAGAATCCTTGCATAAATCTAGGCATGCAGTCTGGGGGAAGATCTTAGTTTCACTGTGCAGTTGCAGCCAAGGAAAGCTACAGTGATGTTTAGTTGCATGAAAAACACCACTTTTTGTGGTTTTGATACATGTGGTGGTCACCTCTTGAAAAGGCCTTCTTTCCACTACAAATACTGCAAACCAGGACACTGGTATCTACTACAGATTTAGCCCTGCTCCTATTAAATTTAACAGCAGCATGATAGAGTTCTTATTGTATTATATTGTGGTATATTGTATTATATTGTATTATATTTTGTGGTTTTAATCATAATTTTAAGTATTCATTGAGACTGTCTTCAACATTAAACACAGCTCTCTGGAAATGGATTGATCTAATAAGTTACACTTTTTTAAAGGTTGTTGATCACTGATTTTTATATCCAGAATTTTAAGATTAATGTTTTGTTGATGAACAGTCTGGCTATAGTATTTTGAAAGTGTCATGTTTAAAAGTAATACTAACACATATGTAGAATTATGAACAACTTTTAACAATACCTTGCCTGCAGTCCAAAAAGGTCTTTTCTGTCCTCCTCAGATTCTGGTTCAAGTGAAGTTAGTGAATACGCAGTGACATCAATGAGAATAATGAGGAGTTTTTCAATTCCATTTGGTGCAGAAAAGTTTAATACTAAGCTGTGCGAGTGCATTATCTGCAAGTATGTTGCTGAATTAGATGTTAATTTTGAGGTGCATAAAATAGTTAAAAATCAATTTAAAGTTAAGGTTTTAAAAGCATAATGTCTTTTGAAGGATTGCATATTGATTTTAAATATAACTATCTAATTGTATATGCATGGACTAAAGTATGAAGTCAACCTCTTTGTAAATGCCAAGAGGCTATTTTTCAGTAATAGTTCAGATGCTTACGGGAAACTAGGCTGCTAGATTGCATGAGGAGAAAATGGCTTGTGAGGTTATTTACAAGTTTTGCCCCATGGTCATTGCCATACATCAATAACAGGTATTATTATAGACTAAGTCTAAGTGTTTCTGCTTATGGTGCATTATAAATTCTGTTTGCAGTATTTTTCTTACATTTTTGCTTCTTCATTTGCCCCTTTTATTCTGTAACTGCTGGTAGAGTTTAACGTAATATATAGTTTCAATTTATAAAAACTGTATATATGTATATGAAATTCCATATGATTAGGTTTTTAGCAGTTCAGCATAAATCGTTGATATAAATTAAGTGTTAACTCTAATGGTAAGGTGATCTGTAGTTTAGCTATTCGGAAGTTTTTCTAAACAGAATTAGGAATTTAGCTGTTTTTAATGCAAGATCCTTTATCATGATGTTCCATAAGGTTCTTCTTAAAAGCTTCCAGAATAGAACTTTGACCTCCAGGAGGATACATAAAAAATATTTGATATGGTGACTTTTTTTACATATTGCTAAGAATAGCACATTGGATCAACAGGCCATCAGTGAAGTGAAAAGGACTTCACTATAAATATTATTTCATCCTTCTCTGACAAGTTCATGCTTCTGAAAAATCAATTAAAAGGATGTTTTGTTACACTAAGATGATTCAGATGAATGTAGTGCCTATCAGTTTCAGAATATAAAGAAAAAAACAGTTTATTTCATTCTTTGCTGAATTAGACAATTGATACACTGGAAGTTAAGAGCTGCTTAAAAAGTATTTAATGATATGTTTTAAGCTAACGCTTTCCTTTAAATTTGGAGGGGAAATAAAGTAAAAACGGAAGTATTACCATTACTTATGCTGAATATATATCTAATGAGTCTTAATTTTGTATAGTGTGTGCTGATGGTACAGTAACCTGATTTTCACGAAGTGCTAAATGCCTCTGAAGATCCCTGTAAAGAATTTCAAAACTTAGAGTTAAAATCACTGACTACTTCTGAAATGCAGGTGAAGGACGATAAATTTTATCATTAATTACTTTACCTATGATGTTTTTCTGAAGTTGGTTCTTTTCCAAAATAATCTTCCGTTTCTTAACCTAAAGCTATCAGTGCTATTGGGCATGAGCATGAAGTCTTGCTGCGAGAAATGCTTTTGGAAAAAAATCTCTCTTTCATAGGTAAGAATCCGTAGTAGAGACCAGCCAGTGAATCCTTAACTTCAAAGATTTCAGTGACTGTTTACTTAAGGAAAAAATAAGCCTCAACGCTCTTTGTATTAGGTAGTAAAGGAAGAGTAAAAAATGATTGATGCTGTACATGTTATCTTTTATTGATTTAGAACTGAGCAGGAACTCAGTTACCTAATACCCTATATATACAGCACATGCACAGGCTTGCAATTAATATTTTATAGAATAAGTAGCTGAAAAAAATGCTTTAATATCTGCTGCAGTATTACTTTTGGTGTCATGAGATATTAGCCATAATCTAGGCCTTATGAGACTTAGGAGGAAGCATAAGAAATATTAGCTTCAAAATGCTTTATGTATTAAAGAACTGGTAGAGGATTCACTCATTTAGCTTTCTGTGCAGTTTCTGCTGAATTTTTGCCCCCTGCCTCTCAACCAATGCAAGCACTCTTTTTACAATCCCTATATTTAAAGTTATTTTAAAGATTAATTAGTTAGGAAGATATTTTCATTTTTTTCTTTTAGCCTGTATTATGTTTCTCATGCATGAGTGCCATTAAAACAATGATTAGTGTTTAAAGCATCTTTTCTCTCATTGTGATAATAAACTTAACACATACTTAAATCTTGGGTTACTTACTTGATGAGACAATAACAAAGTGAAATCCTGTCTTTTGTTAATTGTTGAGTGTTGTGCTAAATTTGTGTGATCAAGGAATTTTGCTGGTTTTACCAGAAACTGTGATCTCTCCTAAAGCTAGATTCAAGTTAAGATTTTTGAAACCTTAAACAAATTTAAGAAACTAGAAAGAGTATTCAGGTTTTTAAAAGACTTGTCGATATGGTTAAGAAACAGAGTTAGCATGCTCTTTTATTTTGGAGAAAAATGAAAAAAAAAAGATAGGAACAACTATAGCATAATAGAACTTGTAAATGATACTTGTAAATTATATATAATACAAACTATGACAATGTGAAGAGGTAGTTTTTCCTGCTTGGCTATAAGAGCAGAGATACAGGTAATAGGCTGAAGCTGTAATTGCAGAGATGTTGTTGAGTTAAAATACTAAACAGTTCTAGGAACAATAAGTATAAAACAAGCTGCCAGGGAAGGTTATGGAATCACCTTCAATGAAAAATTCAAGGCTAGACTTGACACTCATCTATCAAAGCTGGTAATGAAATCAATCCTGTCACGATACAAGGGAATGGACTAGATGACTCACTAATGGATCTTCAACCCAACGATTATCATTTTATTTGGCTTGTGCAGGCCTGTGTAGTACACAAATCGGATTTAAATTTTAATGTTTCATGACCTTGGATAAGCGTCAACTTTGTCTTTAGAAATAAACTCTAAGGAATCTGTGCTGTCAAATCAAAATGTCTAGAACGGGTTAACTCATTTGAATATATAGATATAAATGAGATAGCTTAATTTATTGTTTACATTATATGTATACTGAAGTATTGTTTATTCATGATTTAAGATATGTGAAGTGGTTGTATTTATTATTTCTGTGTATTTCATGTGTCTCTAAGGTTCTAGATATGATTTTTTTTTAATTAAAAAAGAAAAGTGTTTCCTAAGTATCTACAAGAAGAACCCTACTGAACCCCTCACAATAAAATCTTTTCTTTCTGAAAAATTGGTTCCAAAACTGCTTGAAGGAAACATCAGGAAAAGAGAAGAGATGACAGCATTTCCTATAGGTTTTTTAGGCTATGAGTAAAACTGCATTCCAGTTTTGAACGTGGCTTATGACTTAGATTGCTGTACTAGCAATTACACTGCATCTTAATGTGTTTCCATGTTAGTGTACTATTCCAGTGTACTATTCTTCAAGAATAGTAAGGTTTTTGTATCAACTAGTTCACCTGGGCAAGAAAGGGTCTATTACAGGAGAAGAAAGCATAGTCAAAGGACACAGTGAATATAAGTTGCCCCAGTATAATCTTGGAGCATGAAACAGCTTTTCAAGTCCGGGATCTAATTTGTCTGTTTCTAGAGCAGTTTGCTTTCAAAGCCTCCAGATCAGCAGTAACACCTTCGGATTCACCCAGAAATTGATTGGAAACCTATAGAAACTAATAGCGTTTGCATCTTATTAATGCGCTGTTCATGAGAAGCACATCATACACCACATTCCTCTCTCCAGCAAAAAAACAGCTCTCAAGTCTTTGTCGCTTTGCCTGGACATTAAAGTGATCAATGGATGCATTCTCTCAGAAGAGCTTCCCTTGCCATACTGAAATGCCAGGAAATTCTAGGTTCTGTGTAGGATCTTTATTTTTTTATATTGTTGCCATGAGTATCTTAGGAAAGCTTTTAGCCATAATGGGAAGGTACTGACCGTCATCTGGAATCTTACTCTCCTTTGGTTCCCAGCATGACGTCCCTCAGTCGTAGCCTGGATATAAATCATGAAATCTGATCAGTGTTTTGTGCTGTAATCTTAAATTTGCAGTTGCTGTTGCTGCTCGTTCATGCACCAACATAAGAACGTTTGGTTTCATTGTTATATCCAGAGGCTAGTATAAGAACAATGATGTGTTAAATGGTTATGATTGAGTGTGAAGTTATGGTAAAGAAGTTATGCAGTTTTGTTGGAAATCTAAAATAATGGGGAATCTGTAGACAAACTGCTTCTAAGGCGTGTTTCAATGTAATTTGCAAATATGAAGATGCATAAATATAACTGTAAAAGCTGCTGTGGGTTAGCTTTCAAGCAGTTGTTAGATGAGTCTCTTAATCCATGCAAGAGCTAAAAGATCTTTCAAGGTACAGAATGCTACCTCTGTAGCTTCTGGACTAATCTGAAACGTGACTGGTCTGAAAAGCTAGAAATTCTTTCCTCTTGGAAGGGTTTTCATTTTAAAAAAAAGTTCATGGGGATTGTGGGGAGTTTCTGTAATATTTTTTTCCCAAAATTATAAAGCTTCAAAATACTTGAAGAAATAGCAATCTATAATTATGTTCTTGAACATGATAGACAACTCACATCAATAATAAACTTGGTTTTCAACATATTTTCCAATGTTTATCCCAGTATAATATGTTAGGAGTAACCAAGTGAAAACATTCAGAAACGGATTTAAAACAAAAAACATGTTCTTTTTCAATCCGTGCTTTAGTATCAAGTTATTTTAAAAATAATCGGGCATCCTTGAAAAAGAGTCTCCTGAAGAATATTGAAAGTTACACTGATGCAAAGTCCCATTCAGAGGGGAATGACCTATCAGGAAATGTTTTTACATCTGTCCTGGTTTTCACTGGGTTTTTTTAGGTACATTTTCCTGAAGCTGTGACATTAGCATTTGTTAGCTGTGAAACAAAAGACTGAACTTTCTATTGCTATTTTTGTGTTCTTAATAAAAAATTCAGTTGGGACATAACTGTTGTCTTTTCTAAGCTGTTTTAAACAATTAAGAGCAGGTTACAGTTAGAGTTGGATAAAACTGGATTATTTTTTAAATTTTATTAACATTAAGAGATTGTATAGAATATTAATTCATTTTTATGTTATGGGATAAAACTCTCTATTCATAGGTTCTGTTAAAATAGAACCTTGTTAATATTAACATCTTTTATCCATGTACCTGATAATCTAAGTTTGAAAAAATAGCCAACAATCAAGTCTGTCTCCATATCCTAGAATCAGGTGATATAATGGAAATGTTGCGTTGCAAAGATTGTATTTACAATATAGTGTGCTTACAGTGCAGAAATACTCTCAAATTTCAAAAGAAATACTGCAGCTATCAAAAAGAATAAAGAGATATTGCAGTTTATACTTAAGTGAATGTAAAACTTTGTAAAATGACTCCTGTCCCACTTTCAGTCTGAGTTCACTATATAAGAAAAATATTTCAGACATATTCTTCAATGAGAAAGAGGCGGGAAGTTTGCTTTAGGCACTTCTAAAATATTTTGATTTCTAAGAGTGTATGTTTTTCTTGTCATTAAAATGTTACTTGGACTCAAACTGCTGACCTTTCAGGATATGCACAAAGTATTCTAAAACTGAGTTCTGAACATTGGCCATGAAACTACTGTCCTAACCTGATAAATGGATTGGAAATAAGCTACCCAACAGTGAGAATGGACCATTAATTTTAATCAAAGGTGATGTAGAAAGGCGAATGGGATGCATGACAATGTCAACAGCCCAGTAGGTGTTAAGGGGCTACACAGCCTTACTTGTTACTAGGTAGTGCCATTAGTTGAGCTTGGGTGAAGACAGAAAGCCATGCCTGGAATTGAATGACCAGGTCACTCCAAATTCTAATGGAGAAATGGTGTTTCAGAAATACCAATGTAATGGTATCAGAAATCAAGGACAATAGTTTAGAAAATATTGAGGGCTTGCTTGGGCTTGCCCCTTTTTTTTTTTTTTTTTTTTTTTTTTTTTTTTTTTTTTTTTTTTTTTGTTAAAGGAAGCATCTTTTGTCTTTTGTGGCTTTACCTTGTTCACTCATTATTGTTTGTTGAAATACTCAGCTCTAATATTTGTAAGCAGTAGAGTTCTATAGTTAATGTTAACAGAATTTCTAAATCTTTGTATGTTCTGAAATTGGATACATTCTATAGAATGCAGGATGCAAGAGAAACTAAAACTGTGGCTTCTCACTCCTTGAATAAATTTCTGGAAGAGAAGGATTTTCTTTTTTTTTTTTTTTTTTTTTTTTTAAAAAAAAAAAAAAAAAAAAAAAAAAAAAAAAAAAAAAAAAAAAAAAAAAGTTCTAGGAAAAATATTAAACCC